CACAAGACCTGATTATTGCTTTATAAAGTCAATGTTAATTTAGATATGCATATACTCACCACTTGTTGTGGTTCTTTCCTTTTGGAATTCTTAGTTCTTTCATTTGGTGTAATTTTCTTTATGCCTGAAAATACATGGTTTAGAATTTCCTTTAGTGAAGCCTCTCAGTGTTTGTGTGAAAATGTGGGGTTTTTCTTTCTTTTTTTTTGGTGAGGAAGATTGGCCCTGAACTAACATCTGTGCCCATCTTCCTCCATTTTGCATGTGGGATGCCGCCACAGCATGCCTTGATGAGTGGTGTAGGTCTGTGCCCAGGATCTGAACCTGTGAACCCCCGGCTGCTAAAGCGGAGAGTGCCGAACCTAACTACTGCGCCACTGGGCCAGCCCCGAAAATGTTTTTGTTTTGCCTCCATTCTTGAAAGATATTTCTTTTAAGTATAGAATTTTAAGTTGGTAGTTATTTTCTTTCAGTACATTGAAAATTTCATTGCATTGTCTTCTGACCTCATTTGTTTGTCACTGAGAAGTCAGATGTAAGGCTGTCATTCCTTTGTAGGTAATCGGTCTTTTTTCTCTCGTTGCTCTTGAGATTTTCCATCTTTTGTGTGCTGCAGTTTTACTCTGATGTATCTTGGCATTCATTTCCTTTTATTTCTCCTGCTTGAGGTGCATTGGGTCTTTTGAATTTCTGAATTGTCTTCCACCAATTGTCATCTTTATGACATTAAGTTTTCCACTCCCTGAATGTGGCAAATGTCTACACCAATTTAGAATTTTTAAAAAATTTAAACTTACATTTGGACTGAATTTAGCAACTGATTTCAAGATTCAGACAGTGTATATTCTCCCCTCAGAATAAGAAGTGATTTTCATTATGCTTTACTCTTTTTCTCTCTCCCTTCCCATCCTTTGCCCTTTTTAAAAGATTTTGTTGGGCCGGTCCCATGGTGTAGTGGTTAAGTGCGTGCGCTCTGCTGCTGGCGGCCCGAGTTCGGATCCCGGGTGCGCACCAATGCACTGCTTGTCGGGCCATGCTGTGGCGGCGTCCCATATAAAGTAGAGGAAGATGGGCACGGATGTTAGCCCAGGGCCAGTCTTCCTCAGCAAAAAAAGAGGAGGATTGGCATGGAGGTTAGCTCAGGGCTGATCTTCCTCACCAAAAAAAAGAAAAAAAGATTTTGTTTTATGCTTCCTTTATTACGACTCCTCATTAATATTTTTATTAAATTTCACAGCCACATTATCAATAATTATTTAAATAAATTTTTCAATACCACATTTTAAAGTCATGTGCATATTTTCTTCGTCATTCCTGTATTGTTGAATGCTTACATGTTTTAATTTTTTCCATTATAAATCATATTGTATTATTTCTCTTTTTTGAATAACTTTTTTTTTGCATAAAACTTTTCCCACTTCAGATGAATTCCTTAAGAGATATTCCTTGTTGAGTGTAATTAGTAAATCTGGGATTTGTATTTTCTAAGACATAAACATTATTCTAGATTTATTCATACATATATAAGAATACACATATACTTTTTTAAAAATATATATATATATATATTTTTTGAGGAAGATCAGCCCTTAGCTAACATCCATGCCAATCCTCCTCTTTTTGCTGAGGAAGACTGGCCCTAAGCTAACATCTATTGCCAATCCCCCTCCTTTTTTTTTCCCTTTTTCTCTCCAAAGCCCCAGTAGATAGTTGTATGTCATAGTTGCACATCCTTCTAGTTGCTGTACGTGGGATGCCCCCTCAGCATGGCCGGACAAGCGGTGCGTCGATGCGCGCCCAGGATCTGAACCCCGGGCTGCCAGTAGTGGAGCGCGAGCACTTAACTGCTAAGCCACGGGGCCGGCCCTTACACATATACTTTTTTTTTTTTTTGGTGAGGAAGATCAGCCCTGTGCTAACATCTGCCAATCCTCCTCTTTTTTCGCTGAGGAAGACCGGCCCTGGGCTAACATCCATGCCCACCTCCCTCCACTTTATATGGGATGCCACCACAGCATGGCTTGACAAGTGGTGCATCCGTGTGCGCCTGGGATCCGAAACGGCCAACCCCAGGCCGCCGCAGTGGAGCGCGCGCAGTTAACCGCTTGCGCCACCAGGCCGGCCCCTTACACGTATACTTTTAATATAAATAGAATTATATTATATTCTTTGTTTTATATCATCATTTCTGATTATACAGTATTTCTTGCTTTTAAAAACTTTCAATAATAGAGACACACTACATTTGATGGTGTTTTCTGCTTATGTATATTAGCTCTCCATTTGGAATTATGTCTTAGTTTCACTATGCTTTTCATCCACTAAATGTTTCAGAAAGGGCACAGTAGTGGCTAGGGCGCCGTCCACCTTTGTTCAGGCTCGGTGACCAGGTAGTGGTGGGTTCTTCTTGTGGGCGCTGCACTGGATCAGCTCATATGTGGATGCATTTCCCCACCCCCTGGGCCCCCAGCATGTGGGTGGTGATGATTGCTGGTAGGCAGGAGAGTGCCTCCATTCCTATGTCGCTTGTGTTGTCTCTGAGGAAAGAGAAGCGTCGGGTACACAGGCACCAATCCTTCTCTGTTATTTGCACAGATTGGGACAAGATTCTTGCCTCAGCAGGCAGTTGGAAATGGAGCTCTAAGGAGGCAGCTAAAGGTCAGACCTTCTTGGGACCCATTTTCTTGATTTTTATTTTTTATCTTCATGGTAATTTGTGATATTTACGCTATCATAGCACAATTAGAACAATTATTTATGTTTCACAATTTGTGTAGGTGATTTCATGTGCTTTTGAAGCTCTGTCACCTTTTCAGCAGTACCACATACTCACTCTCTCTAGGAAGTTGGGAGGGCAAAACTCCCACAGTTTAGGGAGGTAACGTCCTCAGTCACCTCCCCAGTAAGGAGTTTCTCCATGCAGGGCAGAGTTTTGCTCTCGATCTGGATTTTGACAAAGGGAGGTGTTTTCTTTCCACAGAAGATGGAACTACACCCTTCCTTGGTCACCTGTGTGTCTCTAGGACCCATCACCGTCCTTAGCACCTTGTGACGTTGGTGGGGATGATTTCCTACGCTCAGTTCCTCCACACTGTGGTGTCCTAAGGTATCACTTGGTGGACACTTCTGTTCTCTGACAGCAGCCTGGGGCTCAGACTGACAACAGGGGTCTTCTGAAGTTCAGTGGAGCTGCCTGGTGGGGCACTGCATGGCCTAGAAGGAGGTGCAGATGGGGGTGTCATCTCCATCCTCTCAAGGTCTTTGGACCTCCAGCTTAACACAGAGGCAGAGCCTGGGACCAGGACAGAGATTAAGGGCAGTGTCCAGAAAGCCTGCCCCCAAATTGAGGTCCACCTTAAGGCATGGGCCCACCTTCCACCCTCTTACTGTCATCTAATATGCTTGAAAAGGCTGGGAGGCAACCAGATGGGTGAGATACTAAAGCTCAGTAGAGCCCAGGCTGGGTGCCAGGGATGCTCCTTGGCCATCTCCTTGCTGCCTAAGTAGGGAGAAGTCCTGTGTCCCAGAAGAAGGAACAAATACACGTTGTGGGGGGCCCTGCCTTTGTCCCAGGAACTCCAGGCTCTTTTTCATGTCTGGGCCCCACCTGGCACCTGTCCCAAGACTTACTCCTAAGATCAACTTAAGTGAGAAGCAGATGGAAGAGACAAGTCTCCTCCTCTGAGAAACCAAGTGCGAAGGGGAGGCCAGGTGCATGTCCAGTGGAAATATCTACATGCCTGCCTGAGGGGCCTGAGTGCTGGCAAGGAGGATGGGGATGGAATGATTAGGCTAGGACTAAGATGGGACACCCAGAAGTCAGGCTGATAGAGCATGCTGGACAGAGGGGGGCTTCTAAAGGACCCTGGGGGCTGGCTGATGCAGTAAAGGTAGTAGGAGCAGGCTGGGCTCAGGGCTCTCCAGGAGCATAGTGAGAGCAGCATCTGGGCAGTCAAGATGGTCCAGAGGGTGCAGGGGGAGGCCCAGGGGCCTCTAGAAGAGCCAAGTGGCTTGCAATAAGCCAGGCCAATAAAGAGAGAAATATAACTATTGAATTTTCTGTATTTCAGTCATTTTTTTCTCTTGATAGCTTGGAAAATTCCTTTTGAAAACTCAATCCCATCTCTGCCGAACCCAGGGTAAGAAAGTCCAGAGGCTGCTGGAGGAGCAGGTGTAGAGGGTTCAGCCTTGGCCCCTCCTGAGCACCCTTATGTATCCGGGGAGAGAATAGTGCAAGCCTCCACTTCACACCTGCGGTGACAGGAGGTCACACCTTCTCAAGCAGCCTGTCTCTGTGCTGCACGGGCTTAACATCAGGACTCACACCCTCCACGGACTCCCTCCTCAGTCTGAGAGACCAGCCGGCATGGGTGGCACCACGGGGCCTGTTCCCACCCCCACCCTCCCCCGCCAGCCCGCAGTGGAATCATCTTCTCGGGTTTCTGGTAATTTCATCAGGGCTGCATCATGTTGCTAAAGCCACAGATAACATCTCCTGTGGGTAACTCTTCCCTGCCAGAGTCCCCTGAGGCTGGACTGAGGCTCAGAGGAGGGACATTGGGGTGTAGGATGAGTTTGGGGGTGTCAGGGTCTGTTAGGTTAGCTGAGATGCTGGAAGTGTTGAGGAACACTGCCATTTGCCAATGGAACCTGTGGAAAAGGAGAAGGGGGCAGGAGCTGGGTAGGGGGCCTGGAGAGGCCCCTGAACTCCTGGAGCTGTTGTAGATTAAGCTGTCTCCTGATATCTCCAACTAGGCCCTCCTGACAAACCTCCAAACCCGGGTGGAGGCACAAAGACTCACCCCCTCCCAAGCCAGGCAGAGCAACTGGCCCCTAGCACAGGTCCACCTTAACTGGGCAGCCCTCTGGGCGGGATGTGTTGCTGATACTATCTGCGCAGACGGCAGCCCAGGCCTGAGTGCAGGACAGGCTTGCATGCAGCACACGCAGCTTCCAGCCTGCCACCCTGGCTCCTCATGCTGACTCTGCAGCCCTGCACCATGATCCAGGGTGCCTTGCAGCCTGACGGCCCTGGCTGGGGTTGGGATGCGGATGGGGACGATGACTGGAACGGTGCTGTGCTGACCCTGCTGGCGCTGGCTGTGGTGGCTGCCACGGCACTGGCTTTGCACTGGTTTGGCTCTGGGCATGACCAGGAGGCAGCAGGACCAGCGTCCATTGCCCCCGGGGCCCAGCCTTCTCAGGCGGGAGGAGCCAGGCCAGCCCTACCCCCAAAGACTAAGGTCAGTGATGGCGTCGAGGGACCCAGCTCAGGGCAGGGGAAGCCAGACCCTCCAGGACGCGGCCAGGGGAGTCCAGCGGCAGCAGGGGCCCAGGATCAGGAGCCCCCAGGAAGTGGAGGTCTGGCTGCCACAGCCGCACCTCCACTCAAGACACCTGGTGAAGTGGCCAGCGGAGGGGCCTTGGGACAGCAGCATGGTAATGCCACCCCAGAAGCCACCCGAGGTAAAGGAAGGGAGCCGTTCAGGCCAGGTGCTGCCCTCCTGGGTAGGAGCAAAGTAGGGGGGACATCTGCCCCCCTCCTGATACACTTCACCCCTCGGAGTCCTGGCAGAGAAGTGGAGGTACAGTTGGAGGCAGGAGGCGTCCGAGCCAAGGTGCCAGCTCACCAGGCCCCTGTCCACACAGCGGAACAGGACACCAGCCCCTGGCAACCAAGTGTGGGGCCACATGGCTCACTGGGGAGAGGCCTAGGAAGCCGGCAGTGGCAGGTGGACAACAGCTCAGGAGCTAGAACTTGCCAGCCCACAAAGCTGGACCTCCTACGCCTGGGCACTGTGGTGAGTGTGTGGGACACCGTGGATGCAGCCAGCAGCCTCTCTGTAAGCTCTAAGAGGCCCCTTTTCCCCCAGGAGCTGCCGTCATCACACACCCTGCAGACCAGGCCCCTGACAGGTGGCTCAAAGGTGGGGCGTGGGGAGAGCAGGCCTCCACTGGCCCCAGGCCTAGCCATGGACTCAGGGGCCAAAGCTGCTGAGAGCAGGGAGGCTGGGCCTCTGGCCCCCAGGGAGTCTCAGGGGTCCCCACCCTCTGTGGAAGGCTGGCCTTGGGCGAGGAGGGAGGTCCTTGTCACCAGGAGCTTCAGCCAGGCCCCAGGCTCCATGGGCCTGTGGCCAGAGGAACCGCGGTGGGGACGCCCCCTCTTGTCCCAAGGGCAGGGAACCACAGAAGCCTGCAATGCAGGGAAGGCCAACGGCTCTGGAGACCACTCCTTCTTCAGCTCACGGCCGGGCAGGACAGAAAAGTCAGGGGGCCCCAGCGTGGGAGAAGGGAGTGTATTCCGGCAAGGCCAGGGAGAGCAGAACAGTGGGCAGGTGGCCAACGTTCGGGGTGGAGGGAAGCCAGCCACAGACACCCTCAGCAGTGCCCCAGCCCCGAGCCCCTCAGCCACGCTACCCCCACGCATCCCTAAGCACCTCCCACCCTCAGCTTCCTCGCCCACAGCACACGTGCACTCCGGTCTCTTACCTGTAGCCCCAACTGCTCCCACCTCCTATCCTTCAGACTCTTTGCCCCTCAGAGTTAGCCAGGTTCCTGCTGGGGACGAAAATCTCAGAGCAGTGCCAGTGCCAGCCCCAGCCCCAGCCCCCGCCCCAGCCCCTGCCCCAGCCCCTGCCCCAGCCCCAGCCACCGCCCCAGCCCCAGCTGCTGTCCCAGCCCCAGCCACTGCCCCAGCCCCGGAGCCAGCCCCAATCTCAGCCCCAGCTGCAGCCGCAGCCCCTGCGCCAGCCCTAGCCCCAACCCCAGCCCCTGCTCTAGCTAGTGGGTCAAGGCCTACATCTCAGGAGCCCAGTGTGGCTCTCTGCAAGGGCAATCGGGAGAGGCAGATCTCAACCAGCTGGGGAAACCTTATTTCTATGGTTCTTAGGAGTCATCCCTTCCCCAGGCAAGAGAGGCCCCAAGGGAGAGCCTCAAGGGCAGCTCTGGAGAGCCTTAGAGATCCTGGCACTTCCACACCCTCTAAGAACAGAGAGTCTGATTCTCCTCCTGAGGGGTCTGTCCCCAGCCTTGAGGACAGGCAAGGCTACTCAGCCAGGATGGTCACAGGGGCAGGCACAGGGAGCCTGGCTGAGCCTGGACGTCAGCCACAGCAGAGAAGCTCCGAGATGATTGGGGCTCCTGCCCCCAGCCCTCCCTCAGGCCCAGGAGGAGATGGAAGCGTGGAGAAAGGTCTGGACTCCCTGCTGCCAGCCGCAATGCCCAGGACCCCCTCATGGTCCCCTGAGCAGACGCAGCCTGGCCCCGCACCCTCCCCTGCTGCAAGGCGGCACTCACAGCCTGTCTCCCAGCCATGGAAACGCAGCATGTGTGAAATAGCCAAGAGCTCTGAGCCGGAGATCAGCCAGGTGGCCCCAGAGCAGCGCCAGGGAGAGGCACCAGGGGAGAGGCCCAGCCCTGCAGGCGGCAGAGGGGGTCTCACAGAGAAGCAGAAAGAGGCCCGCAAACTCATGGTGTTTCTGCAGAGCCCTGGGAGCTGGGGGGTGGTGGAGGGGCCCTGGAAGCCCAGCTCCCGTGACTGCAAGCCGGCTTTGGCAGCAGCTCTGCAGCGGCGGCTGGACCTGGGCAGCTGCCTGGATGTCCTGGCCTTTGCCCAGCAGCATGGGGAGCCTGGCCTGGCCCAGGACACCTATGCCTTGATGAGTGACAATCTGCTGCATGTGCTGGGAGACCCAAACCTCTACCGGCAGCTGAGTGGGTCTCAACGGGAGCGCATCCTGAGCCTTCGTACTGGCCGGGGCCAGGCAGTGCTGGGGGTCCTTGTGCTGCCCAGCCTCTACCAGCTGAGCTGCTCGGGGATCACAAGGGGCCCTGGTGTGGAGCAGGCTCCTGAGGCCAGGCCTGCTCCCCTGCCTCCTCGCACGTACCTGCACGTGTTCAACCCCCAAGAGAACACGTGGCGGCGCCTGACCCAGGTGCCTGAGGAGGCCCCGCTGAGGGGCTGTGGTCTCTGCACCATGCACAACTATCTGTTCCTGGCAGGGGGCGTCCGTGGCTCCGGCGCCAAAGCTGTCTGCTCCAATGAGGTCTTCTGCTACAACCCTCTGACCGACATCTGGAGCCAGGTGCGGCCCATGCAGCAGGCCCGTGCCCAGCTCAAACTGGTGGCCCTGGATGGGCTGCTCTATGCCATCGGGGGCGAGTGCCTATACAGCATGGAGTGCTATGACCCACGCACAGACGCCTGGACCTCACGTGCGCCCCTCCCTGCAGGCACCTTCCCTGTGGCACACGAGGCTGTGGCCTGCCGTGGGGACATCTATGTCACTGGGGGCCACCTCTTCTACCGCTTGCTCAGGTACAGCCCTGTGAAGGACATGTGGGATGAGTGCCCCTACAGTGCCAGCCACCGGCGTTCCAGCGACATGGTGGCGCTGGGGGGCTTCCTGTACCGCTTTGACCTGCTGCGGGGCGTGGGTGCTGCGGTGATGCGCTACAACACTGTGACAGGCTCCTGGAGCCGAGCCGCCTCCCTGCCCCTGCCCGACCCCGCCCCCCTCCGCTGCACGGTTCTGGGCAACACCATTTACTGCCTCAACCATCAGGTCACAGCCACCTTCATGGTCTCCGAGGCGACTGCCCAGTTCCAGGCCAAGGAGCTGCAGCCTTTTCCCCTGGGGAGTAAGGGGATCCTCTGTCCATTCATCCTGACTGTGTCCCCCGCGGACCCACTGCAGACTGCCCTCTGAGCAGCTGCTGGAGCACCAGGAGAGCCGCTGCTTTCCAGGGAGACCCTGGGGCTGAGGGGTGAGGAAGTCTGAGGGCAGGTGAGGCACAGGGAGGTGGCTGGGACCCAGAACTTTCTGCTGTTTTTTCTGGGGCAACTTTCCTTTTCTGTTATAATAAGCCTGGTGATTTCCCCCATCCACTCCTCACCCCTTCCCTGAGAGAGCCCTCTCCCCTTTGGAGCCCAGGCTCCCTGTACCTGTGAGCTGATCTGTTTCCTGCCTTTATGACTCAGTTCTTGCCCTAGTTTCTTCCCTGGTTACCCAATGCCTCAGCTCACTCACAACCCCTCCTCAAGGCAGAGCTCACCTTTTCTGGGCTCCCACGAGCCAGGCTCCCCTATCACAGCACCAACCACACTGCCTGGAAATAATCTACCTGTGGGACTCCCCAGTGCTCTGAGAACCAGGGACTGATGCGTCCCCAAGGACCAGGACTCGGCCCACTGAGGAGCTCTGCAACTGCTGAGCCAAGGAAGGAGATGGCTGGAAACACAATGGCGCTTCCTATGTTCTGTCCCTAGGGCTCCAAGCTAGGCAAGGAGCCCACGAGGAGGTGGAAAGGGGAACTGGGAGCAAAGAAGTCCCAGGAAAACATCCTTGCCTCTGGGACTTGCTGCCCATCCTGTGGCTATGGGGAGCCTGCCTTGGGTCTCCCCAGGAACAACTCTGTAGCCCTCTTTTGTCTGATTGGTCCTCAAGGGCCTAGAGCTCTTGTCTGTGAAACTGCTCTGCTGTCTGTAGCCCTTGCCTATAACCCCAGCCCAGACCTGGCCAGGACCACTTGGGCTCACACCCCTCTGCATCCTTGTGGGGTCTCTGCCACCTGCTCAGCCCCTCCAGAAGTCCGCCCCACTTTCCACCAATGCCCTTTTTCAATGAGACCTGGGTTTCAGCCTAGCTCTGCCCCTTATTGGCTGTGTAGACTTGGCTGAGATATCTAACTTCGTTTTTCTCATCTGTAAAATGGAGATAGTGGATATCTGTCACTCAAGAGAGTTTGAGAATATAAGATCACCTATGCAAGCGCTTAGCACAGTACTCAGGATATATAACTGAATAAATAACGTTTCCCTTTACCCACTTTTGAACCCACCATAGGAAGTTGAATAAATCTGAACACTGCTACCTGTCCTGCCCTCTGAACTCGTTTGTCCCCGTCTGGTCCCTTTTTTCCTTTTTATTCTATGCTTGGCACTACTGGCACTAAATATGTTTAATTCATTGAAAGCATCTGCATCCTATCAGGTTTTGTTCACAAGGTAGGACAGAGAGGGGTTCTCAGGTTGTGCGTGAAAATAAATTTATTGAGAAACAAGCACTGTGCAAACAGCTATATATTTGGGTCGCTGTTACTCTGCCAGGTAGAGAAGGATCCGTCCCCCAGTGGCTTCTCTGCACAGGCAAACAGCAGCATGGTGGCCATGGGGGGAGGGGGCCTACTGCTTGCGCTTGGTCTCACTGAGCAGCTCTTGCCAGTTCTTCTCCATCTCCTCCTTGCAGTTGAGGAAGGCATCCTCCAGCCGCCGCATGGACTCTGCCAATGTGGGGTTGGTGCGCATCACCACCATGTCGTAGGCCATCCACGTGGCCTGCACTGCAACAACCAGACAGGCCCTGGTCAGGCCACAGGGTGGGGCTGTGGCTCTGGGGCAGCCCGGGGAGGGCCGAACGCCTCCAACTACGCTCAGTATCCCGGGGACCAGACCCCGCTGAGTCACCCGGTTACTTTAAGGAGAGAAAGCTGGTAGGCTACATGTCATAGGGCTCATAAAAACCCTTATTAAAACTCCTCCCTACACAAAGCAGTAATGAAACTTCTCTAATCTCACACAAGTCTTAACTTCTGGATACATCAGCCTATGACACTACAAGGCTGGAGGCCAGTGTGATATGAAATGTCAGGAACTATTAGAGTAAACACAGATCCTTACCTATCCACAGCTCACAGCTAGTGGTTGCAGGGTGACCCCCAAGAAGTCATAACACCCACCCAAGCTCACACGCTCAGTTAGGGTGACCACTCCCAGTCCTACAAGGTCCCAAGCCTCATGTTACCTCATGTCAGTGGCCTGGGATGCCTGCCCACCTCTACCCGGGCACCTTTGTGCTTTCATTAAGGCCAGTCCAAGGGCTCTTCCTGCTGGGAAGTTTTGCTGCGTCCCATGTTGGCTGTCCTTCGGTGCTCGCCACTGCACCGACAGACTTTGTTGATCTTTCCCTTTGAAAGCAACTGGAGGGCCGGCCCCGTGGCTTAGCGGTTAAGTGCGTGCGCTCTGCTGCCGGCGGCCCGGGTTCGGATCCCGGGTGCGCACCGAGGCACCACTCCTCCAGCCATGCTGAGGCCGCGTCCCACATACAGCAACTAGAAGGATGTGCAGCTATGACAGACAACTATGTACTGGGGCTTTGGGGGAAAAATAAATAAATAAAATCTTAAAAAAAAAAAAAAAAAAAAAAAAAGAAAGCAACTGGAGGGCCATGTCCTCTGGGCCTACGGGTGAACATGGGCTTCTTGTACAAATTCAACAGAAGTGTGCAAAAACCCCACCTCCACACCCTCCTCTCTGCAGTACCCACCCCAATGGCATGGTTCTACCTTCTACAACTACAAAGAATATGGGTTCTCTCCCTTCTGCATGACAGCCAACCACAGTAAATACATCCCCTTCAAACTCTTCTTTTCTGGGCTAAAAAACACTGGATACTTCAGGAAACTATGTCCTCAAGGAAATTAACTAAAGAGGAGATAGGCAGAATGATTAATAATAAATGCACATGTATATCTACACACAACTGAGATCAGTACCGTGGCACACTTGAAGTTTTACAGAAAGTAACATCTGTTTGGCTAGGGAAAATTATTAGACGAGGTATGTGCAGTGTGTTAACAGATAGAGGGCATATAACTATATAGCTAGTACAGGAACTCTTGAACTTTTGGAAGCATAAGAGTCACTTGGGACACCTGTTAAAATGTAGACCGCTGGCATGTGTCACAACTCAAAGAGATTCTTGTGTAGCAGATTGGGAATGGTGCCTAGGAACCTGCATCTTAACAAGTATCTGGATAATTCTAATACAGGGAGCCTGCAGACCACCCTTTCAGATCACCTGCCAGGAGGTCCACGGAGCATGGACCTGGGAGTCAGAGCAGAGTTTGCTTCCCAGATTTCCACTTGCTAGCTGTGTGACCTGGAACAAGTGACTTAAATTTACTAATCTCAGTCTCCTCATCTGTAAAGGACAGACAACACCCCAATCTCGTGGCTTGCTGTGAAGATTAAATGCATGATATATGTAAACTGCCTAGCAAAGATTAGGTGCTCAAGAAAGGAGAAACTCTTACTCTAAAATAAATAGTTGAGGTGATATACCAAAAACTTACAGCAAAAGTTATACTTAATGGAAAAACTGTGGATACCTTCCCTTTAAGACTGGGATCAAACAAGGATTCCTCTAATAATGTTACTAGTATTGGAGATGCTGGTAAATGGAATAAAAATTTAAAAAGAAATAAGAGGTGTAAGGATTGGAAGGTAAGAAATAAAACTATCAGTATTTGTAAATTATAAAAACATATATGAAAGAATAAAGGTCCAATAGCTAAGTCAATCTTAAAAAATAAAAGCTAAAAGGGGGGAATATGCCCAATTAGATATCAAGACATCCTATAAAGCCCTATTTTAAAAAATAATGTGGTACAGACAAATAGATCAATGGAAGAAAATAGTAAACTCAGAGATAGACTCACGTATATATGGAATTTAGTACCTAATGAAAGCAACACCAAAAATCAATGAAAAAAGGAAAGTGTATTCCAGATGGATTAAAGATATAAATATGAAAGATAAAATAACATTTATAGATCAAAATTTAGCAGAATGCCTGTGATCTAGGGACTTCTTAAAAATTACAAAGCATAAGGCAAAATATTGGTGAATTTATTTTTATCAAAAATTTTTTTTCGGGGCTGGCCCAGTGGTGCAAGCGGTTAAGTACATGCGCTCTGCTGCAGCGGCCCGGGGTTCGCAGGTTCGGATCCCGGGCGTGCACCAACGCACCGCTTGTTAAGCCATGCTGTGGTGGTGTCCCATGTAAAGTGGAGGAAGATGGCCACGATGTTAGCTCAGGGCCACGCTCCCTCAAGAAAAAAGGGGAGGATTGGCATCAGATGTTAGCTCAGGGCTAGTCCTCCTCACAAAAAAAAAAAAAAAAATTTTTCAACAAAGGACAACATGCACAAAGTTTTCATACAAATGGTAGAACAGAAGAAATTTACAACGTCTAACTGATAATAGGTTAATATAAAGAATACTCAGGGGCTGGTCCGGTGGTGTAGTGGTTAAGTTTTCACACTCTGCTTCTGCGGCCCAGGGTTCGCCAGTTTGGATCCCGGGCGCAGACCTACGCACCGCTCATCAAGCCATGCTGAGGCGGAGTCCCACATAACGCAACTAGAAGGATGTACAGCTATGACATACAACTATCTACTGGGGCTTTGGGGAGAAAAAAGGAAAAAAAGAAGAAGATTGGCAACAGGTGTTAGCTCAGGGCCAACCTTCCTCAAAAAAAAAAAAATGCATAAAACTACTTCAAATCAATAACAATAAGACAAGAAATCCAATAATAAAAAACCCTGGAAAATAACAAATGTTGGCAAGGATGTGGAGAAATTGAAACCCTTGTACATGCTGGAGGAATTGTAAAATGGTGCACCATTGTGTAAAACAGTTTGACATTCCTCGGGAAGCTAAACACAGAATTACCATATGACCTAGCAATTCCACTCCTAGGTAATATCCCAAACAACTGAGAACAGGTACTCAAACAAATACTTGCACACAAATGTTCATAGCAGCACTATTCACAATAGCCAAAAGGTGGACACAACCCAAATATCCATCAATGGATAAATGAATAAATAAAATATGATACATCCATACAATGGAATATTATTCAGACATATAAAGGAATAAAGTACTAATATATGCCAGAATACGGATGAACCTCAAAA